TGAATTTATCAAATCCGGTTCCCAGGCATGCGTGGTACTTGCGTACAGCCCCGTGAAAGTTTTGGCGGGAAAACTGTTAACTCGCAAGCCAGAAAAGTCGGAAAGCTCATATTTCAGGAGAATATTCCTCGCCCAAATACAACTTAAAGGTTTCAAACTCAGCTTCCAGGTATACGTAGTTCTCGTGTACGGGCACTTAAGTTTTGGAGGGAGAATTATTCATTGAACTGCTGGGTCACTTTCAAGGAACGACCAAAACGAGAGCTTTTTGTTTCCGTTTATGTGAAATATACGATGATTTACGGTATTGAGAGCACAAGGGAGGTGTGAAGAAACAACGATTCATGCAGTTTAACATAAGTACTTCAAGTATGGTGAAAAAAGGCATGATCGCACCGGTTCGCTTGGTATTTTCCAGCCTGGGTTTTCTTTTTCACGCATCGGGTTGTTGCTTATGCAGAATCGCCAGAAGAGTGATAAAGATTACGATAATAAAAACAGTTTATGGCAGAAAAAACTTGTACATCGAAATACTATTTAACGACAGGTAAAATCAACAGATAATAATAATAAAAATATCAGAGGTAGTCAAAACACTAAAATCAACAGCAGTAACATCAAAAATAACAACAAACAGCGGTAAAAACCAAAATACAGAAAACGGAAACAAAAATAATTAAAATTGTGTTTACAGAAACATAAAAAACAGAAACGATAAAAAAGACTGCACTTTCAAAAATACATAAAGCAAAAACAATAACCATGAAGACTGTACATAGAAAAATATCAATAAAAACGACTATACTTACAGAACGAAAAAAACAGAAACTTAAGAATTATCTAAAAAGAAATGCTTCCGATTTTTGTTTAGTAAATATCTTGTACATTAAGTGCGGAGAACGAGAAAGGGATGCATAAAATCTACAAAAAGCATGCGGAGTGTGTGAGGAACAGCGCGAACTATGAATATACTACATTTTAATAAGAAATCAAATAAATTGACAAGTGGACAAAATCAAAACCACAGTGATAATTGACAAGCCCAGAAGACTGATCTGAGGTTCACGACTAATTATTCTCAAGTGTACTACAATGCAACTGTGAGCGGAACGAGTGAAGTTGGGAAGACAATTTTTATGCACCTGAAATATACGCTTTATAAATCCTCTAAAACAACTGTATAGTTTCGCCGTTCGTAATCTTTGAGAAACTTTAGATGAACCATCTTAAGGGCTTGATAATTGTGATTTGCACTCATCCTCCCAAACTTTGAGCCAAATGTCTCAAACAACTTTCCGTATGATTCGAAAATTACATGAACAATAACAAATAGCTATCCTTAATTCTAGGATTTCGAACCTCAGGTCACTCAACAGTCGCATTACAAGATAACTGGAAATCACAACAGCAAAAGTACCGCTGAAATGTAATTACCCTCAGTGCGATTGGTCGAATAAATCCAGTGGCGGTTTCATCATGCCTCCAGCCACTGGTACTGTGGTCGACCGCATATTGGCATAGAAACCGGCGAGCATCACCGCTTTTTCTTACCGCTCGGTACTGGAACAACATCCCGGACTGCGTTCGCCGTATTCTTCTGTTCGACAAACTTGCTTTCGAACGACCGGACAACAATTTATGTCCAGCTGCCCACTTTGTTCGCCGGATAAACCATAGTTTAAAGCTAAACCAAGAATAACTCATGAAAGCATAAATTTTTTGGAAAATAACAATGTATATGCTTGAACACTTCTTTGAACTACTTCCTATTTAAAATCCACTTTCGAATTTTTTCCGCTAGTTTATCCTCAGCTCATCTCGGAATACCACTGCAATTATTCGCAATATAAGTCCACTTTTTTCCCGTAAAGGGAAAGTAACGGGCAAAGCAGGATTATCAACTTGATGCTAAACCGACATTTTATGAGAGCACAAACTGATCACAGTTACCGTACTTCTAAATCATCAAGTTATAATTTTCGCACAATTAGTATAACACCGCTGAAACGCTAAGCTTGCCCGTACTTCAACACAAATCTGAAAGATCGCATTGGTCAAGTGAACCGGACTGTGATTTTTGTGATTCACCCTCGAAAAAACGTGCTTTACACCCGACTAATTTTGTTACTCACTCCCAGTAAAGCAGAGGAACGTAATGCATCCGGTACTTGTACAAAAGAAGCCCACAGAGATTATCAATTAGGTGTAAATATACCTAGAAATATTACAGACTGGAATACATACATATACAGAGTTTAGCTAAGATTAAGGCGCCTCGGTTCATCAAGCCGTATAAACCTTAATCCATTTAGACCTCATCAGTATAATGGTTGTGGCATAAACTTAGTAAACAGAAGTAAAGCGCAAAATGAGACGAAACGTTTGAAATAACTGAAAAGAAATCGAACTAAAAAAAGGTAAACTAGAACTATAAAATCCTCAAGTTTCAAGAAGAGGTAAAGCAGCGTGCTGCGCAAAATGCCAAGCAAGACAGACTGATAAAACAGTTTATTTTCAACTTATTTTTAAGCAATTCACAATTTTTCTCTTTTTTCTTAAAACATGCACAATGATCAATGTAGCTACGTATCAACGAAAACTGTACAGGAGAAAAAAATAACTTATTCTAATAATAACGCAAGTGCAAGTCAAATAATCTGTGATGTCGAGAATCATCCGGGAATCCATGAAAGACCAAACCTATTGCCGATTGGAGAGGAAGGGAAAATTGAAAAAAAAAATGCATTGTGAAATGAAATTCAATTTAAACTGCAAATAGATGAACACCAATTTCTTACCAAATTTATAATCTAAGAAATCACGAGCGAATCTAAATGTCTGCTGGATCTGAACAAAATTCTGACCTTAACTTGCGATAAATGCTTTGAAATTTTAATATATAACCCCATTCAACAGTAAAGGAGAACCCAAACCTAGATTTCGCCCCTTTCTACTCTAGAAGAGCGGCACACACAAAAGCCCATTTTAGGATAAAATATTTTTAAATGTTGTATAAAATACTTTATTTTAAAGTGGTTTTTTATGTCCTGTCCTTTTACAGTAAGAAAGGTGAGAGTCTAAGTTCAGGTTCTTCTTTACTCGACGTACAAAAAAAAATTCAGGATCGAAAAGCCTGGCTGGTATAGCTGCGCGCGGTGATAAAAGTATAACAGTAAACATCATCGCTAGCAAGGGATACCCACTTCGATAGCCAGGATGGTCTTGTTATTCTTGGTGATTAAAATAGGGCTTAATTTATCAAAACTTAGCTTAAACTACATCTGCTATTGCTGAAATTTAAATCCTGTTAATTCGTCACAAAGGCAGACTTTTGATTTCCTACTTGACCGAAATGAGTCAAAAATTAAAAAATCGTACATAAAAATTTGAAACGCTCTCAACTCCCACTGCATATTTTTAACATTTGTTTTTTTCCCCCAAAATTCCCCGTATTTCGTCCAAAATTCGCCCTGTTCAAAACACTTGAAAACGTAAACAAGAGCTAAAAGAACAGAAGCAACGTCAAGAAAAGAAATTCAATATTATACAGTTATAAACAGCAAAGAAAAGCTATTTTGAGGCATTTGAGGAAGATTTACAGTTCCAACACATAGATTAGCACAAGCAACCGGATCTGCCGTTTATCACAAAAATTTGCATAAATCGTTAAAACAGCAAGAAATGCTCGAATAAAATGAGACTGATTTCGGTCGAAATCAAATAACGAAGAAAACTTGTATGAGAAATATTAGCAATCACCAGTAGGATTATCTGCTTTCAACAGGATGCAGTCTCCAACAACAAGAGGTATGCCGATCTAAAACCCTTTTTGAGTTTTACAACCAGTCTCTGTTTTTCCCAACAGATTTTATGGCTTCAAAGGGAACCGGAATCAGCTGACACGATTTTACAAAAGTCGACGGTCATATTTTACTCTTTTTTTTACTCACTTTGCACCAAAAAGAGTTGCAATTTGCGAAACGTTTACTCATTTTTCAATGAAACTCATCGCTCCATAAGAATCTGGTATTTCTGATTAGATTTCACAAAAACCCGAACCAACTTCCCCATGACTCGCTTTTTCCTCCATTTTCCATACGAGCATGGTAATGCATGGGTGCAGAAGTTGGGCAACCTCTGATTCAGATCAAAAATCGACACCTGATCGAACCCCAGTTCCATGTATCTCTCAAACTCCGCAATCATCACAAAAACAACTACGACAACAAATTTACTTTAATTCGGGCGGTGGATTGTAGATGGTCTTCTCTTTGAAATACACTTCCTCATGTTCTTTGTCACAGATGAGCAACAGTGATGCACCGAAAGTGAACAGTGTTGCGCCCCATGCAATACCGTAGCTCCAGTCAAATTCCCAATTTCGATAGCCGAAATTCTTCATCTCAACGTAAAAACACACTGGGAATACGATCAACGATATCAGCTGCAGGAAAACTGCAAGCAAAATAATCATCTGGCAATGTAATTTAAAAAATTTAATAAAAATAACTGGCCAACGAACGGGCTGCCCGTGCGAAGATGCGTTTTTTGCATGGTTCCTCGCAGTTTTTGTTGCTACCGGCACC